GGGTCTTTACAAATGTGACCACATGTCTTCACAGATTTGGTCACAGGTCTTTACAAATGTGACCACAGGTCTTTACAAATGTGACCACAGGTCTTTACAAATGTGACCACAGGTCTATTCAAATGTGGCCACTTGTCAATACAGATGTACTACATTTTCCTTGTCTATATATCTGTCAACAGACGTCCCGTGCTTAAAGAGTTAACTTACGGCTTCAATATCTCTGGGAATCACCTTTAGCTGTAAGGACTTGTGCTCCTCTTTAATTTTTTGCTTGGTGATATTTCTGTAAGATGTAATGTCAATATTAGCAATGGGGTTAAGGCAATTAGTGTATTTTCTTGCATGCAGGGCAGTCTTGGTTCAATCACTAGGTATGGCGTGGCTTCATTTCCTGTCTAGTTTACTTCTTATACCAGCCCAATTTTATAGTGCACAGCTTTCTGTAAAAATGTCTCCACATCAGTTCCGCTATGATAGATGCAAGTGTTTTCTGTGGCTAAATTACCTAACGGCAAAACATCTAAAGCATTAAAACTCTGAACTTCAAGGGATTAACCATCGAATCATTCAGCCAATGGCTAGTCAACCATCAGCCACCAAACAACCAGTCAGTTAACCAGCCAGAAATCCAACCAGCCAGGTAGAAAACTAACCAAAAAGCCAGCCAGAAAGAAAGAAATAACAGTCAGTCAAACAGCCAGGTCACCAACCAAGAAGAGCTTCTATTATGAATAAAGATGTATGCAAGCAGGACATAAATAACTGAGGTTTTGATATGGATTCACGAGTACAGAAATGCATAGGCCATGTTGCAAGTTAGGGGTTGGGGTGTAAAAACAAAAATGCATATGGATAAAGACGAAAATGATTGCAGATAGGTTTGGAGCTGAGCATCAGAGAAGACCAACATTAACTACTTGCAATTGCAGCCCATGGTTGGTGTTCAAAAACGGGCTGTTGCCGGGGTTCACCCAGCCTCTAGGAAATGGGTACCACTCTGGGGTAAATGGAGGAACATCGCTGTAGCTACAGAGTTATGTGCGAACGGCGACACAGGCAGACAGTTTCTTATCAGCTGACCGTACTGGTGGCAGAGCACTTATTGTTTATAACCCGACTTTATTTTACTTTTACAAGCAATGACAACAACGGGAATTCCCTGCTCTTGTTGTAAAGACTTGTCTGAAAATGAGCGGGCAGTGATTGCCTCTCTTTAGCACAATATAACACTATTGTCCGAAAAGACGGAAAAGTAAGTAAAGTAAAAGTTAGGACCTTTTTTCATGCCTTCAGGCGTATTGGGCATATAGGGCTAGATCTGTATTTTATAGAACCAAACTGGCACTTGGTGGGTGAAGTGGTCAGCATCGTGCTGGCTGCCTTAACTTACCAGGACGGTACCTGGTACTCCTCAAAACTTGCTGAAACTTGCACGCGAAGGTCATTTTTGGACAAATCTCGACTCTGTCAGTACCAAAATCCATGACCTTCTGTTCCAAAGGTGAGGATCTAGCCGTTTTACCACAGCGCCTAGTCAGAAAAGTGCAAATCAATAAAGTTAGTTGAAATAACGCAAGTCCGAGAGACACACATTGTGAAAACTGGAGAACAATATGGCTAGAATGTTTTTGCATTGGAACCCACAGGGGCATAGGAATAAAGGAAGGTCAAAAAACAAATGGAGAAGGGAGCTGGAGAATGAAGTTAGAAAGATTGGGAGGACATGAGGAGAGCTCCATGTGATAGCAAAGGATAGAACTACTTGGCATGAGTTGGTTGAGGGCCTATGCTCAACTGGGGGCTAGAAAGGCAGAAAAGGAAGAAGTGTGAGATGGAACATATACAAATAACAGCTGTGGGAAGATAAGTTAAAGAAACAAAAGGATAGGTTGGATGGAGGTTAGAAATGCATATTATAGAACCAATAACTATATGGTGATTTGTCTGGTACTAAAAGAGTTACACATCGACATCATGTTGGTTAAAAAAACACTTGTAACCAAAGAGATAATCAAGAAAATAATGCAACAAATCAGAAACCTAATTTTTTTTTAGAAACTAGACCATTAACAACTCAACTTACTGGCTGAATTTGCTTAACCAGTCATCTTTTGTTTCCAGATTTGGAAAGGTGGCTACAACATTGGTGGTTGGCCAGCCAATCACAAACGATCTATCTATAGGTCTGGTGAGCTCTGAGACGTCCTCTATACAGGAGGCGATCCACATGTCACATAGATGTACCTTCTGCTTCAATTTGAATGTTGTATTCGATCTGATGGATACAAGTAGAAAAAACATGATGTGTTTTGTTAGTAAAATGTGTAGCATACAAACAAAATGGGCCGTTAATGACACAATGATTGGTAATACAGCTGAAGAAAATTACGATATTTACAATAAATTTATCAACTACTGGGATATCATCTGGACTAACAGCTTTTCGAACTTTTAACATGTAATGTTGTAAATTTCTCATCTTTGTTATTGTTCCTTGTGTTAAGAGATTAATCTTCTTGATTATTTCTATGGACTTTTTTAGGTCAGACCCTCAAATAGTGGTAAAATTCTATATTGTTTTGATCAGTGCGAATCTGGGTGTTGACCAAATCTCTAAACTTTGTCTTAGAGAGAAAAGCGTAAGCCCTCCAGGTTTTGACACCCCTGACTGGTGGCGATTTTAACTATTAAGACTTACTTAATACTATGGCTAAACTAATACTATGGCTTAACTTACATTACGACTTAACTAATACTATGGCTTAACTAATACTATGGCATAACTAATATTAAAATCTAACTAATAATGTGGCTTAACCAATACAACGGCTTAACTAATACTAAAACTTTACTAATACTAAGGCTTAACTAATACTATGGCTTAACTAATACTATGGCTTAACTAATACACTGGTTTAACTAATACTATGGCTTAACTAATACTATGGCTTAACTAATACACTGGTTTAACTAATACTATGGCTTAACTAATACTATGACTTAACTAATACTATGGCTTAACTAATACTATTGGCTTAACTAATACTGAAACTTACAGAAAAAGTCAGAATCACACACACACACACACGCACGCATGCACCCATGCACACACACACACACACACACAATGACTTACTTCTGTTTGGTGACAAGTAACAGATCAGTGAATAGAAACAGATAGCGGTCTTGTACTTGCATGCCCTGAATGAGATAAACACTACATTTAATCGTTTCTTCTTTGTATTTTTGTATCCTCTCACTCTACACATCACTCTCCTACTCATTTTTCTCTTTCATCATCGTCATCATCATCCTGTTGTATCGTTCACACGACACACAGGTCTCGCAGTCTACTCTTCCATTCCTCTTTATCCTGTGGAATATTTTCAGTTTTATGGATTAAATTCAGTTCTGCATCTCTGACTTCTCTCCACATCATTCATCTTAGGTGTCCATTCGACGTCCTCGTTTCCCCCAATCCATCTATAAAATCAGACAGTTACTGGTACTGTTGGAATTGGAACTATTTGCCTGCTGCTGACGATGGGGGACGGAGCGCTTACGGGAGTGTCCTGAATGCTATAATGGCGATTTTCAATCCAACATTAGTGCTGCTTAGAGGTTCAAAATCTATTGTAACATCCCTTCGATTTCTCCATTTTGTTTTTATAAATAACATGCCAGCAGAAGTCTCCTTAACACAAACAGGAAGTCCTCGAGATGTTAACTCTGGAAAAACCATAGAGGCTACTTAGTTACAGGATGAATCAGAATATGTTGTTCGTCCATGTGGACTTTCCACGGCGTACCAGAAGACCTCTTCATGGGTTGCAGACCACTGATCGAAACATGTTGACTATGAGACTTCGACCATGACACATCTTGATGCTTTTCTTTCTGTCTTTAAAAAAAATGTTTTCTAGTTAATGTTCATAGTTGCTGTCGAGCATTTCTGTTTGAATGCCTTAAAGTCTATATTTACTACTTGGTGATGAAGAAGGGAGTGGGGTGGGGGCGGAGACAGTTGGTGGGGCTGTGGCACTACAAGGTCATGTGGTAACCGGTGAGGAAAATTTCTTGTCAACACCCCATCTCCCCCCCCCCCCCCCCACACACAGATGCAAACACACTTAAAATTATGTGTTTATATTAAAAACACGTATTTGTACCATATTGTCCCCCCTCCCACACACACACACACAGATGCAAACACACTTAAAATCATGTGTTTATATTAAAAACACGTATTTGTACCATATTGTCCCTCCCCCCCCACACACACACACACACACAGATGCAAACACACTTAAAATCATGTGTTTATATTAAAAACACGTATTTGTACCAACAACCCATGTGGCCTGCACCACCCCGCCTCAGGCGCGTCCCTTGATATGACTCTAGTGGGGGTGGGAGGTGGTGGGGAGAGGCGTGAGTTCCAGGTTTGAAAGTAGCATGGCGCCACGAACTGTGCAGGTTTGAAGTTTCAGTTTTTCTTCCTAGAAAAAAAATCTCCACCACTTACCTAGGATCGAAGAGAGGTCTTTCACATCAGAGCCTAATATTCTAACTACTTTCATTTGGGTATTCTCCTCAAATTGCAAATATCACATGTCGGACAGAATTTCTTCAAGTGTTGAATATCACCTCCTCAAATGTCGGAAAAAAATCTCTTCAAGCGTTGACTATCATCTACTCAAATGTCACCCATATTATTTCTAGCTTCCTGTTTATTGTTTTTAAGATAAATTATAAGGCATAGGTCGGAGTATGTGGTTAAGGTTTTGCGAACAGGCTTTGTAATTCCCATGCATCCGGTTTGATTCCATCTCTGGGTGATTTGACAGCAGACTAGCTTGCACTGATTTCAACAGAGGCATCGACAGCCAACTATTCACTGCTATGGCAAACTACAGAACGTAAAATTGTCTAGAAAAGCTAAAAACAGCCAAAGAATGCCATGATTATTTCTGTAACGTCCTGTAAAGAATATAAGTAAGCGAAGACCCATTTCCACGCTTTCAGGCCTTTGGGGGCGTATAGGGTTAGATCTATACTTTATAGACCAATCCGCATTTGGTGGGAAATGTGGTCAACGTCATGCCAGCCGCCTTTACTTCCCAGGACTTCGCCTGGTACCCACTCAAAGCTGGGTCGGCCTAGGAGTCAAAGGCCATTTTTTTGAAGACAGTCGGTCCCGTCAGATCCCAAACCCACGACCTTCAGATCCGCAGACGAGAGTCTACCCGCAAAACTGGGCGACTCCCAGTAGATTATATGCAACTGCCTTAGGAGACATTCATTCATTGACGCATTCTTGCCCACTTACTGCAGCAAACTGTACTGAACCCTCGGTGACATAAACCCGGTCTGTATCCCCATCTGCCAGCTTGAACTGTGCTATGACATCCTGGTCTTTTTTGCTTAACCCAGCATTGTACCTAGAATGAATGAATGAATGAAAGAATGAAATAGCAAATGAATGAATGAATGAATAAATGAATGAATGAAATGAATGAATGAATGAATGAATGAATGAACGAATGAATGAATAAATAGTGAGCAAATGAATGAATGATTGAATGAGAATGAATTCACTGTCATCGCTGCATTTGGAACATTTGCACCTGTGCTCTGAGGAAAAGTTACCATACTGATGATGTCAGTTGCTCCATCATCATCATCCTCACATCAACATCAGACATCACATAGGGTTCTAAGTTTATCCACTGGAGTACCCTAGTGAAATCAGGCTTAGTTGAACCAATAATGGATAGATTAGAATGTTTAATCAGTAATTTTGTACGCAGCGGAAACAGGGAGAACAACTAAGGCAATTACTGATAAACTACAGACATTCATTAACTGTTGCCTGCGCAGAATAGAGGGAATTAAATGGTATGATAGAATCACTAATGTAGAGCTTTGTGAGAGAACCAAGCAAGCTCCAGTGGACCAAAAGGTGAGGAAAAGATCTGGCACTGGATAGGATAAACTTTGAGAACACCGGAGAACAATATAACCAGAATTACTTTGCACTGGAACCCACAGAGGCATAGGAATAAACAAAGGCAAAAAAAAAAAAAAAAAAAAAAAAAAAAAAAAAAAAAACCACGGAGTAGAGGGAGAAGTTAGAAAGATGGGGAGGACACGGGGAGAGCTGCATGCAATAGCAAAAGATAGAACGACTTGGCGTGAGTTGGTTGAGGGCCTATGCTCCATAGGGAGCTAGAAAGGCAGAAGAAGAAGAATCAGAGGACGAACCCCTCAGGCCGTAAAAATATTATATATATTTAATTAACAAACAAACAATGTATTAATTGACACTCATAGAAAGAAGTAGAAATATGGAAAAACACACATGACCCACCACTTGAGAAAAATCTACCGTGCGGTCCTGTTTTCAATGTACAGATTCTCTGTATGTTTTGTGGCACTTTCCGTTTGATCACAGAGAGCCACAACGTCCACTTTATCATAAAGTAGCTCACCATCAGAGGTGCATGCAGCAGCCAGCCTATCAGCTTGCTCATTACCGCGCACACTGGAATAATCTGGATAGAATATCCATGGCGTGTTTCTGGCCTGTTTCCGTTTTTTGAAGTATGCTCTGCGAGTACGTTACAACTATAACACGTTGAGCTGTGCTGCTCTCAGGCCATCGGGAAGCTAACGTGACTGTCTCCACCTCCATTCTCATGCAGCTGTTGTAATACCAGATCGTTCACCTCTGTTTCCCTTCGCATCAAACTACACTAATATGCTGCATTTCATAACAGCTAAAAGTCTACCACAACCCACAGGATTTTGTCCTATATTAGTTGTTAGTCTATTGAGATCCTTTGTAGCAAACCTTTAATGTGAAGAGGTCGCGTGCTCGGTTGACTGGCTGATCAATGTAAGCAAGTAAACGATTTGTTTTACGCCAATGGCGGGTACATGATATTAGAAGTCAGTTTTGACAAATACTTCGTCTGAATATAAAATCTGAACTTAAGACCACAGGATCAGCACGCTAACGTCAGCCACTACGCTACCGCAGCTTCCGACTGGTTGATTAGTCGGTTAATGTTAACAATGTTGAGTCTACAAGAAAGAGAGCACAATCTTCTTCTTCTTCTTGTCTCTACTCCTGGAATGCCTCGCAGCGTCAGGACGGGATGCGATCTCTGGACCGAGCCCTACTGTTGGCTTCGTATAAAGTACTTTTTGGTGTCTCAGATATTTCTGCGGTCAATTTTCTACATGGTCAGCCTCTTGCTCTGTTATCACTGTATCTGTATAAAATTGCTACATGTGGTTCTTTGCCTGTTGCCAATCTTGTTACGTGACCATTTGATTTGTTGTCTACCGATAAAGTTCAGTATTGGTTCTCTGCCTACTTGCCTCCTGGTTTCCCCGTTCTTAAGAACAAAATCAAATTGAAAAACAACTTTTTTTTGATCACAGAAAAGATCGATGTAAGAATTGAGCAAAAAAAAAAAAAAAAAAAAAGCACCTTTTCACGATGATTAAATAGATTGATTAACAATGTGTCAGCAAAGAAACTCATTTTATGAGATAAAGGATCGATGTTACAATACCAAAGCAGATATCCTTGTCTTTTTCACAACAAAACGGAGGTAAGAACTTACCAGACGGAAGTTGGACTCCTGGCTTTCATGCTGGCCAATGATTTGAATAGGAGAGCGCTGGGAGCTGATTTGCGTCGTGAAGACAACTTTCGGGCCTGAAATTCAATATATTTATATATATATATATAATCTCATCTTGACCCTCTTATACCTTGCGGGGTCGAGGCGAAGTATTATTTACGGTAATGCGCCTGTTTGTGCGCTTGGTAAATGGAGACTCCAAGGAACTCTGCTATTCCCTCTGTCCACAGTTTGCATGGTCGGCCTCTGTTTCGCCTCCCGCTTTGTCTATACATAATTGCTTGCGGTAGTGTACGGTTTGTTGGCATCCACATTACATGGCCAAACTATTTCAGTTTTCTTTTAAACTGTAGACATACTTCTACCCCCATTTTACTTCAGATTTCATCGTTTATGATTTGATCTGTTCTTGTTTTAAAGAGAGCTTTCCGCAGAAATCTCATTTCAGTTGTTGTAATTTTTCTTTTATCTTTATTTTCTCTCACATTGAGTGGCATTCATAGAAAGGGCTGGCAAGAAGATTGTGTCATAGAGCACTATTCTGACACATACTTGTTTCTCAGTATTGGTACCATTTGTCCAGTGAGCTATTAACACACTCACGCACACACGCGCGCACACACACACCCACACACACACATATATACATGCACTGACACACACACACGCGGGCACACATATATACAACACAAGCACACACACACATATTCACGCGTATTCAAAGACACGCACACACACACACACGCGCATGCATACACACACTCACACACCACGCACACACAAACATATATACACACACAAACCACCCAAAAAGGAAGTCGCGATTCGAAAACCTTTGGGAGCCGTTTGTTAACAGTTTTTTAGCTGTCTCAAAGAGGACTACAGGGTCTGGTTTTCTACAGCCCAAAAAACCAGCCTGGAAAACAACTGATTGTAAAGCTCTGCCATGGTCTAATATTGGAACGGAACAAGCTTCTTGTGTAGAAAAAATGTCGAGAAAATGGATGCCAAGGTATTCTCAATTTAGTGTCGCAAACAGGAGTGGTTGTCTAGGGGCGCTGTCTGGAAAAAAATATCGAGCGGGGTGGGAGGGGAAAGGGGTCTTATGGCAAAGAAAATTATTTTAGAGGAAGAGGATCAAGTGGCTTGAGCCTTGTTTAAGTGAGTAACTATATATATATATATATATATATATATATATATATACGTCTTGCTAGTCACACTCGCCATCGCCATGGGCCCTGAGTTCCATGCCATCCTCATAGCGCAATATAACATGATCGTATATAAAGACGGAAAGGTGACAATCATATGTATGTGTGAAGCAAATAAACAAATGAATGAATGAATGAATGAATCAATCAATCAATCAAGAATTGACATAACTGCACTCGGGACATTCCTACACGTGCTCCTTCCTCAGTGCAGCCAGAAGGCGACATGCTAATACTATCAGTTGCAACCTGATTAAAATCCTCGTCTTTTTCCACCTGGGTATTGAAATTCTTCCAACTACAACTACAACTTCCATACATGGTCGAGGAACCGCACAGCTTCCCTATAAATGTTCTGCCCCCCCTCCCCGCCCGCATACCTTTTTGTTGTTGTTGGTAAAAGTGATGCATTCAAGGGATTTGAGTGCGCAGGTTCCATCGCCACTGATGACTTGAGTTGAGCTGGTATCAACAGAGGAACTCACCCAACATTGTTGCAGATTGTTCCAGGTCACTTTTAACTGGGTTGCAACTGGTACAATCAGTATGTGAATTCTTCGTTGGGGACAGGGGAGAGAGGAAGGAGACACAGCAGGCGTGTGGCTGTTCGAGTACAGATATATCAATCCATTCATTCAATGAAACATTCCCTCATTCATTCATCCATTTAATTATTCCTTAATTCAGCACTCTTATTCTTGTTGTATTCCTCTTTGATAAAGACTCCAGCCGGAACACTGACAACAAACCCCCCCCCCCCCCCCCCACCCCGGCTCATTGGTATACCTAGTCATAGTTTTTCCTGGGAGGGGGGGGGGGGGAAGCTGCGTTAGCGCAGTCGATAGGAGACTCGCTTTCAAATCCAGCTGAGACTCGCTGCAGCCCACGGCCGGTGTTCGAAAACGTTCGGTTCCCGATGTTCACCCAGCCTCTAAGAAATGGGTACCAGAGTTGACACTCTGGGTAAACTGAGGAACGTCGCTGTAGCTGCGGGGTTGCGTGCGGACGGTGACACAAGCGGACAGTTTCTTATCACCTGTCCGTACTGATGGCAGAGCATTTCACATCTCCCGACTTTAAATTTTTTTTAATAGTTAATGATTCGTGTATTCAATTCTTCATCCTCAGTTTAGTTCGGCTGGGTTAAGCGCAGCTCAATTCTTCTTAGCAAAGGTTAATGGTCGACGTCTGGTACAGGAGAGCCTAGCATATGATACCACAACATCCAGTTTAAGAATTGAGGTGGAGGCGGTCACTGCAGCTTTCTGCTGATAAGAAAATATGACACACAAGCTCACGCGCGCGCATGCGCACACACACACACACTCACACACACACGCACGCACGCTTGCACGCACACACACACACACATCGTGATTTGTAACTGACTCAGAAAGTATACTGAGTAAGGTCAGCTCAGGCATGCTTCGTGCATAGTGGCATGTTTCACTGCGGAGAACACGGGTTAGGAGTATTGTCTAGATTGTATCTCCGGGAGACGCCGGTGTGTTGGGAAATGAACAGGCGGGCAGACTGGTCGGCTCTGCACAACTTGGTGGAATAATGATGCATGATAGGGTAGACGTGGTTGGGGCCTTGTGGGAGAGCGTGTAAAATTCGGATGACGAATAGATAGATCACCATAGTCTGGTGAGATTGATGCAACAGGGATTGATGAGGGGTTCTGTCAGATGCTCGAGGCTCAGAGTACAGGCAAGACAAATGTTTAATCAGAATACTACTGGCACCATTATTACTGGAACTCTACGCCGGCTGCTGAAGATGGGGACTGAGTGCGTATGGGAATGCCCCGAGTGATTTGATGTCTATTCTTGAATAAACTCAATTTAACTAAGTTAGGTTAAGAAGTCGCATACAATTTAAAATTTCGAAATTCGAAGAAAAACTAGAACCGAAGCCATTCATATAATTCATTAGAGAACAACAGATTAAATGGTCTGACATTGTAAAGAAAATGGGCTGCTACCAGCTGCCATAGAGAAACATGTGGAAGAAATATACTGAGCATAGAGCAAGGGCTAGACCACGCTAAATATGGAACGATAGCAGCAAGAACAGTCGTGAGAAAAAATTAGATCTAATTAGGCAACGCATTAGAAAGAATACATAAAAGATCCTTAGATCTTCTCCCATTATTTCGATGAGGTAACTGACGAAGAAGAAGAAGAAGAAGAAGAAGAAGAAGAAGAAGAAGAAGAAGAAGAAGAAGAAGAAGAAGAAGAAGAAGAAGAAGAATGTGATGGGGTGCTGTGCATGGTCTTCACGATTACATAGTGGCAAGCAGAAAGTCCGTGCAACAAGGGACAGCACGAGATACTTGTGCCTAGTCGAGGAAGCGAGGGAAACCCCGAGCTAGCCTCGTGGTCAGTCGATCATGAGAAGTCAGAGTAGACGGTTGTAGTATTTGAAGACGTAGTCTTTGTGTTGCGCAAATGTTTAATGTTTGAATATGTCGCGAGTGCTAAAGTGTAAATAATGTTTGAATATGTGAAATAAATGAACGAGAATAAACTGACAGAATGTACCAAGAAGACGAGCAGCGTTTGTGTTGTCAACCCTAGATGTTAAAGTCGGTGTAAACTAAGGTTCATGTCAAGTCTACGTCAAGGTTTATTCCAAGTAGACTATGATTCATTCTAAGTTGAATCAGAATCATTCCAAGTGAAGCATTAATTCATTACAAAGAAGAAGAAGAAGAAGAAGAAGAAGAAGAAGAAGAAAAAGAAGAAGAAGAAGAAGAAGAAGAAGAAGAAGAAGAGAAAAAGAAGAAAAAGAAATAGAAGAATATAAAGAAGAAGAAGAAGGAGAAGAAGAAGAAGAGGAAGAAAAAGAAGAAGAAGAAGAAGAAGAAGAAGAAGAAGAAGAAGAAGAAGAAGAAGAAAAAGAAGAAGAAGAAGAAAAAGAAGAAGTAGAAGAAGAAGAAGAAGAAGAAGAAGAAGAAGAAGAAGAACAAGAAGAAGAAGAAGAAGAAGTCTCTGAAAAAAAAAAAAAATTTTCTTAAGAAAACTATCCTCAAAAGAGTATTTATTTCACAAGTTATCAACTTCATCATCACCATCATCATCGTCATCATCATCATCACCATCACCACCCTTTTATACCGTGATAAGTTCATAGTTTCATTGCACTCTAACTTATGCACTTATTTCGATTATGTATAAAATCCACTGGAGCATCTTGGTTTCTCTCACCAACGCTCGTCAATCTTCTTTTGGAGATCCCCGTTCCATCTTATGTACACGCAAAATGAAGGTCCTGGAAAAAAAACCAGAAGTCCAAATGGACAAACAGCCAGGACGTTCCGTCGGAGCTTATAGCCGGTGAACAGGGAGAAAGAAGACGATCAATCCAGTTGTTTCTCATTTAAGTACCTGTTTGATGATATAATGTTTGACAGAAGCGGTTACGGAGGGAAAAAAGTGGGGTGGGGGGGGGGGGGAATAATGGTATCTATACTTAACTGGACCTGTTACTGTCGTTTGTGTTCATGCACTGTACTGACATTGGAATGTTGTCGTCTATAGAAGCAAGCGAAAACACCGATTGACGCACCCCTATGCAATGGGCGTCACCCTACAAAGAAAACAGTATGTGACAGGTTATGCTTGATTTAAACGTTTGCTGTGTTTTACACCACCAGCTAATCTCAGAAAACTTATAAATATATACGTCTTTTTTATATATAGATAATAGAGATACATTGTCGCCTAATTTATATTTGGAAAAAAAAAGTAATAAAGAACGTATTTTCAAAATCCCTGAAATTATACTAAATAAACCTCTATAAAGCTCTTAGTTACACATTAACAATTTTTTTTGGGTCTCGAAAGAATAAAATG